CCCACCCAGTCACACGACTGCCAAGCCCCTCCCACACGGTCACATGGCTGGCAAGCCACTCCCACCCAGTCACATGGCTGGCAAGCCACTCCCACCCAGTCACATGGCTGGCAAGCCACTCCCACAAAGCAGGCCACACCTACAGAAGAGGTTCTAAAAATTTTTGAAACCCACCACTGATTTAGTTGCTCTTCGCTGCACTTTTTCCAAAGTCTCTACATCTTTTTTCTGTAATGTGTAATTACAAAGAATCTGGAGACTAAAACATATGAAGAACGGTTTGCGGTGACCAAAACTGGATGCAGTATTCCAGGTGTGGCCTTACTAAGGCTTTATAAAGCAACACGGAGAGATTCAACCTGGAAATAAGGAGAAATTTCCTGACAGTGAGAACAATTAACCAGTGGAACTGCTTGCCACCAAATGTTGTGTGTGCTCCATCACTGGAGGTTTTTAAGAAGAGAGTGGACAGCCACTTATCTGAAATAAGTCTAATGAAGCTAGTCTAGCTAGACTAGTGAAGAGAAGGACCAGGGGGAGACATGATAGCATCTTTCAATATTTGAGGGGCTGCCACAGAGAGGAGCAGGGGATCAAGCTATTTTCCAAGGCACCGGAAGGCCAGAGAAGGAACAATGGATGGAAACTGAACAAGGAGAGATTCAACCTGGAAATAAGGAGGAATTTTCTGACAGTGAGAACTATCAACCCATGGAGCAGAAATTGCCTTTTCAGAGGTTGTGGGAGCTTCATCCCTGGAGGCTTTCAAGAAGAGGCTGGACTGCCATCTGTCAGAAATGGTGCAGGGTCTCCTGCTTGGACTAGATGACCTACAAGGTCCCTTCCAACTCTGTTAAACTGTTAGTTCTAACACTTCACGTGGTGTGCCCAACTTCCTTTTCTGCTCCGGGTAAAAGAACAAAAAACGGGATTGAGGTTTGCCACGAAGGGGACGGTGGTATAGTTGAATTACGCATCGTTGTATTTGGGAAGAGGAAAAAAAATGGGAGATGAGAGGAAAGTCGGCTGGCTGAAGCTGCAGCAAGATGGCCCTTGAAAAGAGTCCCTCTTTGGTTCTTAAAGGGAATTGTTTTCCGCTAGCAGATAATGAACTTTAAAAATATATATATTAGTGCCGTTCCAGTAAGTCTCCTTCTATCAGGAGCAACTAACTCTATTCAGTCCTCGAAGTGCTTACAGCTAATAGCTTCTGTTGTTAGGCAAAGGAATTGAAAGAATTTTTTTTTACTGTGTGTTAGAAGCAGGGATTCCCCCCCTCCCTCGCACCCTGTCGTTTGCCTTTTCTCTGTGCCAGCACAATTAAATAGAGTTGGGGAGGGATTAATGGACCCTCCCCAAAGATTACACAGAGGACGCATGTTGGGGCCAGCCAGCCATGCTCTGATTGTTTATTCTGCTCTTCCTGTTTTTTTTCTGTTGCACTTTTCTTCTGTCTCTTGCAATCAGAGACTGCTGATTAGTGGACCTGTTTTACTGAATCAGGTTATTTCCTTAAACATTGGTTACTGAATCAGCCAACTTTTTTTTTTTAAACCTCCTCCTCGAAAACGCCACAGGGCAGTGATAAGGGAACGTTTTCGGCACCGAGTGCCCACATCGGAATGCACATGCATTGCATGTGCATGTGTGTGCGCTGGAAACCCAAAGACTAAGCTATCTGGTGTGCATGCATGTACTGGACAGCTGGTCTTTGGGGTTCTGGCATGTGCCTGCTGAAGGTCAGCTGGCCGGTGTGCGCATGCCTGTTTTTTGGGCCAGTTTTCTGGGCCATTTTCCAGGTGTTTTTGTTTTGTTTTCAGGCCATTTTTGGACTGTTTTCCCGGCCATTTCCCGGCTGTTTTTGGTTGTTTTCAGGCCATTTTTGGGCTGTTTGGGGGCTGTTTTCAGACCTTTTCTGGGCCATTTTCAGGCTGTTTTTGGCCCCATAAATGGCCCTAAAACAGCCCAAAATATGGCCTGAAAATGGCCTGGAAAATGACCCAGAAAACAGCCTGGAAAACTGACCCACAAATGGCCTGAAAACAACCTGGAGAAAGGCCCGAAAATGCCCCCCAAAACCTGTGTTTTAGTCACTTTTGGTCTGTTTTCAGGCCATTTTCTGGTTCTCCAATGCTTGGGAAGATCAGCGGGCCATCGCACCGGAAGCTAGAAGAGCAGCTGGTGATGCCCAGAGAGAGGTCTCTGCATGCCACCTCTGGCACACGCCTTTTAAAACCCCGCCCTGGCTTAGATGTGTGACCCTAATCAACGAATAGGTAGGGGAAACCACTGCTAAGCCACCACGTGGCTTGATCTGAGTTTGGCATGATGTATGGAGGTCTTGTGTTACATTTTGCAACTCGGAGCATAGGAGCACATCTCTGAATTTTCCTGGGAGTTAGAACAATTAATCCAGAAGTTGTGGGTGCCCCAACACTGGCTCTTAAGAAGAGACTGGACAACCATCTGTCTGAAACGGTATAGGGTTTCCTGCTTGAGCAGGGGGTTGGACTAGAAGACCTCCAGGGTCCCTGTTGTTCTATTATTCCGCTTCCTTTCGATGTCATTATTTGCCTATTGTCATTCGCCTATCTCTTTTACTGGAGTCCTGATACTGAAGGAATATTAGAAGTGGCAGGAAAGCCTGTTAGATTGCTGAATAATACATGTCAAAGACTGTAATTTATGTGTTGCACTGAAAGCGTTTGGTAATTCCTCACCCACACTCCCGTTCTTGAAAAGAATTTAAGAAAAAGCTAATAGGAATACAGTACATGACAGCACATATATACTGTATATCTCAAGGATTTAATTTAAAAAAAAAACAGTGTAAAATAACATCACAGGAGCCCTTTCTGTTTTAAGTAGTTTCCCCCCCCCTTTCTTTTTCTTTTTCTTTTTTCTTTCCCCACCTCAAAAGAAGCATACCTTGGATTTTCGTGTCATTCGAGTCTTTATTTAGTCACAAGAAAACCGGCTTGTTTTGACTCTGAGTGGATCCCGCAGAACTGTGCTTGAAAGGACAGGCAGTCTGTTGATGCTAAATGGAGAGAAGACAATTTTCTTCCCCTCACTCGCACACCATCTGTTGTAGCTACTGTGGGAGGTGGGGAAAACTGTATCTTGTGGCATTTGTAAGAGGCCCAACAGCCAGTGAGATTAAGCAAAGACAGTTGGCCCAACTGAGAACAAGCTGTAAGACATCTGCTGGGGTAGCATGCTTCTCCACCAGAAGTATGCTAGTGCCCTCAGTCTGCCTAAGACACCCTGCATTTTATACGTTTTAAAATTCTGGGGAGCAGCACTGAAAGGCTCAACATTTGAGATCCATTTGCGGGCTTTATTTCTCCTCTTTAGTTTTTCAAGGTTGCAATTTTGTCAAGCCGTCTCAGCACCCTTTTCCGAAAGCTTTCCGGAACACATGCCTTTTAATAAAAATTTGTTGTCGGAAAAGATGCTCCTAGACACCTCCTGATGTTTTGCTATCGTAGAGTAACGCAGCTCTTCCCCCCTACCGTGCTGATTTCAGTTTCTCAAGTCCTTCAGTTATAAATTTGGTCGCTCACACAACTTGGCTGGCTAGCAGCCTGTACTAAAACCCATCCATATTTTTAATATTGTAAGAGCCAAGGTGGCGCAGTGGTTAGGGTGCAGTACTGCAGGCCACTTCAGCTGACTGCTATCTGCAGTTCAGCGGTTCAAATCTCACCAGCTCAAGGTTGACTCAGCCTTCCATCCTTCCGAGGTGGGTGAAATGAGGACCCAGACTGTGGGGGCGATATGCTGACTCTGTAAACCGCTTAGAGAGGGCTGAAAGTCCTATGAAGCGGTATATAAGTCTAACTGCTATTGCTATTGCTAATATACCGTATTTTTCAGAGTATAAGATGCACCTTCCCCCCCCCCTAAAAGAGCATGAAAATGTTGGTGCATCTTATACACCGAATAAAGCCATTTTTGGCCTCCCGAAGCCCTGCCCCCACATCCCATTTTTGCAAAAATGTTTTGCATTTTTCGCAAAAACAGAGACATTTTGCCTTTCCCCAGCCCCCAGAAGCACTCTGCAGGCTTCAGCAGGGCTGGAGGAAGGCAAAAATGCCACTGTTTTTACGAAAAATGGGTGAAAATGGAGGCGTTTTTGCCTTCCCCCAGCTCCCAGGAGCACTCTGCAGGCTTCAGCAGGGCTGGAGGAAGGCAAAAATGCCACTGTTTTTACGAAAAATGGGTGAAAATGGAGGCGTTTTTGCCTTCCCCCAGCTCCCAGGAGCACTCTGCAGGCTTCAGCAGGGCTGCGGAAAGCAAAAATGGCCCATTTTTTGCAAAAAATGGGGGCATTTTTGCCTTTCCCCAGCCCTGCTGAAGCCTGCAGAGTGCTCCTGAGGGCTGGGGAGGACAAAAACATTTTTTTCTTATTTTTCTCTTCGAAATCTTAGTGCGTCTTATACACAGGTGCATCTTATAGTCCGAAAAATATGGGTATGTACATATTTTTGTATGCAGCTCACCCTAACCTAATTTTCTCAACTGTGACATTTTGTGCAGCAGTCCTCACTCCAATATAGGTTGCTTTTTTTGTAGTGAATTGCTTTATAAATATAAGAAAACTGAATTTTGGAGAATGTCTTTGATTTGTACATTATTTCAAACTTTGAAAGTAATTACTATCATCATGAAATCTGAACATATCTTCAAACGTGAATTAAACAAATACCTACCCTGTCCTTTTTTTAAGAGGCCAAATTCCAGTTTGATGGAACGTGTAGAGACATTTCCTGGACTCAATTAATTCCTGCAAGATAAGACATTGTTTCCATTAGTGCATTAAATGATTGTAGCTCACCTGAGTTTCTCATATATATAAGAGCTGAACTGACAATACTTTAACCTTTCTCTAATTGGAGAAAAAATAGTTTTCTTCCTGTAAGTGTTAAACATAGATGTGGTCTATATTAAGAAGCAGCTAAATAATATCTATGTGCTATCTATCATACTTAGTTGCAATGGAATTACCATGGAGATCAGAATTTTTTCATGCATCGTTAGTCTGTGGTCTCTATGCCAGGCTGGCTCACATCCAGTTTTTGGTACACTAAGTGTGAACCTGGTCCCTGTACTTTCTGTCCACAGTACCATTGACCTTCAAATTTGCAAATCTTTCTCTGCTTTAAAAAAAACAAACCAGGACATCCTTTTTTCCAAAATACTAAAATGTTAAATCATATGACCAACCCCAATCCTTCTACCTAAATTAGGTAGTCCTCGACTTACAACAATTCATTTAGTGACCATTCAAAGTTATAACGTCACTGAAAAAAAGTGACTTATATGACCATTTTTCAAAGTTACAACCTTTGTAGCATTCCCATGATCAAAATTCAGATGGCAACTGGTTCATACTTATGACCACAGCTCTGTCCCAAGGTCGTGTAATCACTTTTTGCAAACTTTTGACAAACAAACTCAATGGAGAAGCCAGATCCACTTAACAATCAGGTTTCCAACTTATCACCTGCAGTGATCCACTTAATGACTGTACAAGACAGGCTGTAAAATGGGGCAAAACCTGCTTAACAAATGTTTCACAGAAATTTTCGGCTCAAGCAATATAGCAATATAATTCTTTATTGGCCAAATGTGATTGGACACACAAGGAATTTGTCTTTGGTGCATATGCTCTCAGTATACATAAAAGAAAAGATACATTCATCAAGAATCATAAGATACAACACTTAATGATAGTCATAGAGTACAAGTAAGCAATTAATTCATACTATGAAACAATCGATTTAAATCATAAGGATACAAGCAACAAAATTACAGTCCTGCAGTCATAAGTGGGAAAAGATGGGGCTTAGGAACGATGAGAAGACTAATCGGAATAGTAATTCAGCCTTAGTGAATAGTTTGACAGTGTTGAGGAAACTATTTGTTTAGCTGAGTGATGATGTTCGGGGGAAAACTGTTCTTGTGTCTAGTTGTCTTGGTGTGCAGTGCCCTATAGCGTCGTTTTGAGGGTAGGAGTTGAAACAATTTATGTCCAGGATGTGAGGGGTCTGTAAAAAATTTCACAGTCCTCTTTTTGACTCATGCAGTGTACGGGTCCTCAATAGAAGGCAGGTTGGTAGTAATTGTTTTTTCTGCAGTTCTAATTATCCTCTGAAGTCTGTTTCTGTCTTATTGGGTTGCAGAGCCAAACCAGACAGTTATAGAGATGCAGATAATTGCGGTCGTAAGTTGAGAACTACCTGTACCTCATATTTTCACTAGGACAAAACCCGATTCCAACCTCTGCTACTATGAAGGTTTAATGTCTACTATTTACAAATACAGAGGTATTCTCTTAGAAAATGATGAATACTATTGCCCGAAGGCCACTTACATTTCTCTTATCTTTTGTTTGTTTTTTCGTAATAGCCTCTGAAATTCAAAAACAGAATTGAATCAGATGATTGGCTGAAACAATTTTCCCCACTAAAATTTAGCTAATGTTCTCTTGCCCTCTGCTGGAAGAAAACAATACCATGTATGTTCCTTGTATACAGAAAGCTGAGATTGTGTTTGGCCTGAAATAAAACAACAGACTACGTTTTTGTAGTTCATACTGTGGAACTTTACTTTTGAAGATACCTTAAGACGACTTTCTGTTATTGTAAGAATATGAACAGGCTTGCACATTGCCTTAGAGGTTAATACATCTACCTAATATGTAAGCAGCCCAGGTTTGAATCCCAGAAAGGTATGATTAGCTGATGAGAGCTAAATAGCTCGAAATAAATCTATACTAGTTTCCCTTTATTTCTGACGGTAAATATAAATTGAACACAAAAATAGTTTGTTGCAAAAGTGACTGCCTGCGAAGGCTCCTGGATTGGGGCTGGAAGCAATATGCTCCCTACCATATTTGGGTAGATAGAAAAAACACCTGACTTGCACATAGTGCTAAACCATGGTTTGCTTCTAAGCCACACTGATTGTGTTGACATGATTAAGGAAATCATATGGTTGGGATTAAAGAAGGCAATGCTAAACTGTGATTGGCTGATTTATGGCCCAGTGTGCAAATCCAGATAAGTTTTATAACGTTTCAACATGTTGCATGAACTTGAGTCATTGAATTAATTCAGTGAACCATAGTTCATGCCTTATACCTGTTGCAAACAATCCTTTGCTAAAACTGAAGAGAAAATTTTATTTCACATGGTTCTATTTTGATACCTCCGATTCTCTTATAAGCGGACAAAGAAAACAGAAAACAGAAGTTAACCCTGAACCCTGCAACTTTATGAAGGAAAAGAAAAGATAAAATATATTAATAGAGATTTGTTTTTGTTTTTAAAGTCAAAGTTTAGGATTACAGGTTGTCCTCGACTTACAAACACTCGCTAGTCACTGTTCAAAGTTACAACAGCACTGAAAAAGAGTGACTTGTGACCGCTTTTCACACTTATGACTATTGCAGAAACCCCCCCAGGGTCATGTGATCAAAATTCAGAATGCTTGGCCACTGGTTCATACTTACGACCGTTGCTGGTCACGTGATTATCTTTCTACCAAGCAAAGTCAACGGGAGAAACCAGATTCGCTTAACAGCCATGTTGCTAATTGAAGAACTGCAGCGATTCACTTAACGACGACGGCAAGAAAGGTGGTAAAATGGGGCAAAACTCAAATGTCTCGCTTAGCAACGGAAATGAGGGGCTCGATTGTGGTCCTAAGTCAAGGACTTCCTGTGTATTTCTTTTTCCTCTTCTCTCCCCTTCCTTTCTTCCTTCTCTGCTGTAACTTCGATCCTGCAAAAGACTAAAGGACACACAAAGGGTCTCAGAAATTTAAAAATAAAGTAAATTTAACTTTCAATTAAGTAAATATGGACTCGTTTCTGAATAAGTACATAAATAATAGAGGTGACCATGTGTGCTGGACTGCAGGCTGGCTAACTCATTTTTAATGGCTAACCTTTTATAAACTCCACTTTTCTTTATCAAGAGGCTTAATATATAATTTTGAGGTCGAAAAAAATCACTTAAAGATGCTTCCGCCCACCTGGAAAGTTTGCACTTCGACTTTCACCCCGCTTTTTTTTTTTTTTTTTACCTCAGGCCCTTCCTGTTCTCTTCGTTGCTAGGCAAATCAGCCCTCTTCGCGGCACCCAATTGGCGGGTAGGTGAGTCTTCTCCTCCCCTTCTCGGGTTCCCCTCCGGCCATTGGCTGGCCGACATCCCGCCCTCGCCTTGGCGCCAGGTAAGGACATGTCTCCGAGCTCTGATTGGCTGGAGTCTGAGATTGGGGTGAGGGTGGGGGTGTGTGAAAGCAATGGCTCTCAGGTGAAGTGCCAGCCCGGCCCTGGCTTCCGATAGGTCGGCAAGTGCGGAGAGGCGGGCGCTTAGAAAGCGCGCCATTGGCTGACAGGGAGGAGGGAGGGGCCGAACAGGGAGGCGGCCCCTCAGTGAGGCGGGGCCGCCATGTTGGGAGGCGGGAGGGCGGCTGGGGGTCGCTGAGGGGGTGAGCCGGGCGGCGGGAGCGCGCCTTCTTTAACTGCCCGCGCGGACGGGAGCGCGCCCCCTCCTCAGGAAGGGGGGAAAAAACCCGAAGCGGGGGGGGGGGAGCGGGAAAGAAAAAGCTCCTGTCAGGAAGGGGCGGACGCGAAGGACGACTCAGAGCCCTTCCCTCGCGTCTCCTCCTCCGGGAAGTTGGAGCCGAAGTTTCGCGGAGCGAGTCGGCCGCGGGAAGTGCGGAGAGGCGACGACCCCCGTCACCTCACCTCACCTGGAAGTGAGGGGTGGGTGGGATACCTGTAGAAGGGGAGACCCCCAAAGCAGGTGAGCTTTTTGAGGGGAGGGGGGGGAACTGAGGTTGAGGGGAAGGGGGCAAACAGGAGAGCCAGGAATAATGGGGGAGGGTGAGAAGGAGGCAAGTGGAAATGCCCCCCCCCCCATGCAGCCCACTCCCCATTACCTAAAGCAGGAAGCTTTTTGGGGGGAACTAGGAGGCTGGGGGGAGGAGAGGGAGGGAAAGGGGGCAAACAGGAGAGCCAGGAATAATGGGGGAGGGTGGGAAGGGTCAAGTGGAAAAGACCCCCCCCCACGCAACCCACTCCCCATTACCTAAAGCAGGAAGCTAAACTAATGGGGACACCCCCCCCCCAGGAAAGGCTAGCCAAGCTATTGTTGTTTTAACTAATATTAATCTGTTATTATTATTAATCTTTCCAATTAGGTCCTATTTCATTGTCCGGAGGTAAAGAACTGGATTCCCAAGCTGAAAGAGGTGAGTTCTAATCCTGCCTCCGACCAAAAGCCACTTAGGGCAACTTCTGGCTGGTGGTTCTCCCCCCCCCCCTTTCTGGGAGAAAATATTGGCAAGCCACTTCCGAAAAATGTTGGCAAGAGAATGACATGCATTTGTTCCTGTCGTCTCCAAGACTCAGGATTGTCTCGAAACCCATAACAACAAGCAGTCACAACAACATTGTGTCGAAAAGAAAAGTTTGGGAGAAGGCCATTCCCTTACTACTAATATTCATAGTATTCCTTCTCTCTCTCTCCATATGTCTAATTAGATCATATTCTTTAGCTGAATGTAGACTAATTTGACATTGAGGAGAAATTCAGATGGGACAGAGCCAACAAGATAGGAGATAATGTAGCTTCTATTACAGTTACTATTAGAATTCTCTGTGTAAAATAAGTATTGATTTGTTTGTAAATTTATTTCGGTTACTCCTTAAGATGCTTGGAAGTTTATTTCTACTTCAAATTTGTAGTGGTCTATAAGTTGCAGTGATCATTGTGTATATGGTGGGTATATGTGCATTGTATATAATTAGATCATATTCTGTAGCCAGAGAGATTAGTATGGCAGAGAACTAGTGGAAAGAATACAAACATTGTGGATGTTACTGTTGCTTTTTGTTATTCTCATCAAACACTCCATTGTATATAAACTCCTGCAGTCTCACTGGACTGCAAGGAGCACAGGAACAGCAACAATAGCAATATTGGCAACAAAGGGTACATAAAACTGATATTGTGTTATAGTGTATATACACAAACCTCTCACACATATACAGATAATCATTCTGTATTCTCCATTGCAGATGTTAGAATGTTGCCCACCTGGTCTAATCTCAAAAAGCTAAAATTTGGAGCCAGTTACTAGTGGGATGGGAGACCACCTGGAAATGTCAGGGCTGTAAACTTACCTGGGAAGGCAATGAAAATGTCCCCAAAAGGGGCGTCAAATTGCTTCCATATTGTGTGGAAAAACAAGTTGTATGTATGGGGAATCACCATATGATTCTGCATTTAAATAGAGGGGTGTTAAGGTGATGGAAAGCTTATGACTACGAATAGTGTTATAATTATATTTAGGGCTATTTACACATACAACAAAATAAGTGTATTGCCATGCATGTGCTGTTTATGTGTGTATTATGAATGTTAATATTGTATATACTATTACCTTTGTATGTATGAACTTTTTGAACATTATATAGCCATTTATATGTATATTGGATCAGTTTACAGTTAGATTAAATTAATAATTCATATAGTTAAATATTCCACAGTGAAAGGCATAAATGTTATTTATTAATAGTTTCTACAGTACTTTCCTTTGTCAGAACATCTTGCTATCAAACCTTTGTATCAAGGGGGGTTGGGGGAAAATGTGTCCTAAGAAAGACCCACCAGTGTCTCTGCAGGGGGGAGGGAGGAAGGGAGAGAGGGGGGAGAGAGAGAGAGTGTCAAGGGATAGGCTTGAGAGAGGAGACTTTTATCATTGTTGTTCTGCATAATAGTGTGTTGTCATTGCTTCTTACCTGGTGGAGGTAAGATCGATCCCTTTTGTGAGGGATTGACAATGTCAGTGGAAAAGAGGTATGAGGTCTACTTTGCTGGGAAGGCATAGAAGAAAAGAAAAATTGAGATATTATTTCATTTGTATGCCATTTTTGGCTTAGATGATGGTCCTTCCTGCCATTTTCTCCCACAATAACAGTTGGCTTCCCTGGCTGATGTGAACGTCAGTCTAAGATTCTGCTCTTGTCAGGCTACTTGTGGTTGTTTATGCGTGTGGCACAAACACACCTATTGCATGAATCAAAAGTGGTTCCATGGAAATGGGTGAGCTGATACTATTATTATTTAATACAGTCTAAAGGGTTTTCGTGCAAGAGAGAGGTTTTTGTCCCACCATGAGCACTACAACTAAATAAACAAAGGAATGGGTGCCAGGGTAATTAAAAAAAAGAACTTGCAAGAATTTCAATTAAATATAAGTGGGCTAAATTATAGTGATTGAGCCAGGAGGTAAACTTGATGCTGAAGGAACAGGAAGTCTTTTTAAGAAGGTGAGCATGTGTAGTAAGTGGGTGAGGCCCTGGGAGTAGAAGGTGAAAAGGGTGTGTTTTTCCTTCTCTTCAATTATAATGTGAAGAGGGCATTGGTGGTATGTGAGGAATGCATGTACTGTCTGGCAGCCTAGAACTTACAGCAGAGGTGGGGAACTATGTCTCCTTTATGAATTGTGGACTTCAACTCCCAGAATTCCTGAGCCAACCATTATGGCTCAGGAATTCTGGGAGTTGAAGTCCACAAGTCATAAATAAAGGGGCCATAATTCCCCACCTCTGAGATACAGGAGAGTTGAAGTTAGAGGCTGTTTGCAAATGAATGGGAGGGGCCGCAGTCCTTTGCACACTTAAAAACAAGAGGCTTTGAACAGAAAGGAGCTAATTCCTAAATAAATACCGTATATATATATAACTTGCATTGCTACTTTGAGCCATCCAAAAATAGAACACTGCTTTTAAAAGAGGAGAGGTTATACAGTAGAGATAATTTCTGGGAAAACTGAGCTGACTTTTCTCTTTATGTGTAAAATGAAGACCATTTCATGTAATTCAGTGACAGGTAGCGTCTTTACACTCCAGAACGCAAAGTGTGAGAGTTGCACTCGCCCCATAAAATATAACATACAAGATTTAAATGTTCACAAGATTTAAGACATGATTTGTGAATTTGACAACTTTCTTAAAAGTTGTGAGAGTTGGGTCTGTGGAAATGCTAATCTTTTTATTGAAGGTATTTGCTTTTCAGCTGTTCTAACTAAAGGCAAGGAGGTTACAATTTGTTCCCTGCTTCAAAGACTGTCATTAAGATAAAAACAAAATGTAAACTTTTCCAATGTTTAAGAATTCCAGAGTCAAACTTTACTGGTGATTAGAAAATTTCCTTTTGAACAGTTTATATCACACATTTTGTAGTTTCTGTGCTTGGAAGGGAAGGAATCAAGCCAGCCAAAGCCAAATTTGTTTGCTAAAAATGATTCAGTTTTTCAAGTGGGAATAACTAACATTATTGGCCAAAATATTACCTGCTTTGTTTTAGCAGATGCAACTTCTATTCTAGAATGTACACAATTTAAATGTAATCATGCTTAAAGTTACAAGTTTGGGTTTTCCCCCACCTTAAGCAACAGTATAAAACTTTATTGTAGCAAGGAAAGGAACACAAATTACACGGTTGATTTGTTTGACTTTGCATGTCCTTTTTAGGTTTAATTCAGTATTTATTATGTTGAATGTTTTCCATTCATTTGTTTTCTTCTTTTTTTGTGTGTATAGACTTGTGTGTGCATGCAGTCTAATGAAGTTTTTTACTGGGACGAAGCATAAAAATGTTGCCTGTTCATTTATTGCAACCCCTCGTCATTCTTTGAATGATTTGAAGACGAGTCTATAAAACGAGGACATTGTTTCCCCCATTTGAATGTTGCATAGTATCATGCCTAGCAGGATGGGATCAAAAATGAACACGAAGAAAGACTTCGTTAGAGTAAAAACTCATTATAATGGGTAAGTTACATTTAGGGTGTTTTATGCACTGCATTCTTCTTTGCTCATTTTGTTCAAGCTATATAGGTAGTCCTCAACTTACAACCATTCATTTAGAGACCTTTGTGAGTTACAACAGTGTTGGGAAAAAATGCAACCAGTTCTTGCACTCATGAAAATCACAGCATTTTCATGGTCACGTGATCAAAATCCAGATGCTTGGCAACTGGCATGTACTTACTACAGTTGCAGAATTCCAAGGTCATGTGATCACCATTTGTGACCAGCTGGCTTCCCACAAGCCAAGTCAATGATAAGGACAGCCAGATTTGCTTAATAACCATAATTCATTTAACAACTGCAGTGATTCACTTAACCATGGCAAAAAAGGTCGTAAAATTGAACGTGCCTCGCTTAACAACTGCCTTGCTTAGCAACAGAAATTCTGGTCCCAATCCTGGTCATAAGTTGAGGTCTACTGGTGTATATTTGCATTTCTTTCATTTTCATTGAAGGTGGAAATTCTCATGAAATTTCTGAGCTACTGTTTTGCATGCTTTGGTTTTCTTGCTTTCTTAAGCATCGCCTATGTGACTGAAGCACAATTTAAGGGAGCAAAAAAAGAAAGAAAGAAAGACAAATGGCCAAATTTGGCAAAGATGAAAAAACACAAAGTTGTGCATTTGTCGACCATTATCCATTAGTAGATTGCCCTGTGGTAAAAATGTTCACATCTGCGCTGTAAAAATGAGTTCACTGACTCATGACAAGGGAGGGAATTATACAAATCCTAAGACTGTCAGGTCAGGGATAATGTTGTAATTCTGAACACGGTTTAGGATCCTAAACAATCGTTTGGATGCCTTTCTACTATCTTATTAGTTGCTTTTGAACTATACATTCTCCCAGATGCTACTGAGCAAATTACTTTGTTTTGTTTTTTACTTCCTATAATGTATATTTTTTTTAAAAGATATATAGGTATTAAGGGAGATTGGTGAAACTCTTATTTAAATCCCCTTAGGTGAACCTTGTCTACCAGCAAACCAACTATCTTAGAATTAACTCACAACTTATCCATAGGCTGTCTGACTCTGAGATTTGGCCTTTGCAGCTGTAGTGACATTGGCAATGAGAGACAAGATCTATTGTGCTGGCAGATCTGCTTGTAAAGTCATTGTAAAAGTGGCATAAGATTACTTTATACCATATATCGGTCTACCTATTGGTACACTTCCTTCTATGTAGATAATACATGGGGAATATAATATAAACCTTAAACTTCTAATCCCATCTTTACATGAAAAACGTGTTCATATGTACAATAATGCAGGACAGAGATTAAAGTTTTAAAGCATAGCTTATCCTAATGATAAAAACTATTTTTTGAAGTCCCGTTTTGTGCATATATAACACATTTGGAGCAAATCCAAATGAACTTAAAGTTTGGGTAATGCTATAAGGCATGCATGAAAAAACACCACCACCAAAAACTCTTAGCTTCATGTCAGACCTTCCTTTATTTTCACATTTTGTAAAATGGATCTGGGGAAAAACCTTACCCAGCGACACATGCTCTGTTTCCCATCACTTTCAGTTGGGAAGGGGTTTGAATTGACGCAGTGTAGAATTCTGTAATTACTCCCTCTGGGTTTATTGTAAAGCGTGGTATAAATAATCTTACTCAAAGTTGCCACTACGCAAAGGATTTCTATTTTCATGTGATCTGACGTGTCACACATTGTGGAGGCGCCGACACCAGGATACAAAATTAGTGTCAAGAATTATTCGGGAAGGTGTTAAATTATTTACAATGTCTATTTCTGGTACAGAACACCTTTGATAGTGTGACTGAATTGAAGTCTTGTAAGCATGAGGAAGTTGTACTATTCATGTTTGCTAATGTGCCTCCTTGAATGCTTAAAAGGTGGATACTTTATACATTTTTGGGTGTGACAAATACATTACTTAAAGTGGTATAAGTGTTCATCCTGAATGGCTAAAATACAGGTTGCAGTAATGTAATCTTCCTTCAGGTTTAGGTTTAGGTTTTATTCAACTTGTATGCTGCCCTATTCCCGAGGGACTCAGGAATGAAGTCTGTTGAGGAATGTATTTTAATTTGAAATTTTCCCAGGACTAAACTTCACACTGATATTTTGAATAAAGGACAGTTCTGTTCTGACCGAGGCTTCCCAAGAGCATGAAGCAAACTCCTTGTCCCGACAAAAAAAAAAACCCTTTTATTAATTTACTGTGAATTCTGCTCATCCACATCCAGCAAAGTCTTTCAAGGGAGGATTTACAGTCACAGACCTTCTCTGGCTTGGAGAGCTGCCAGGATGATATCTGCAAAACTTGGCCAGGAATCTCAGAGAGCCATGTACCAATTAAGCGAACTAATTGTCTCCTGCAAACTCCACTCCCCTTTTGCTCCTCTTTTATTCCCTCCAGGAGGGGCCATACATCATCCACCTGTGGCCTTACTCCCAAGTCGACCCCTGTTCTTTAGCTCTTCCCTTCGTCTGGCAGCTCTGCATGTGCGCACACTGGGAACAGGCTCCAGCTGTTCATCTGCCTCACTGATGTCTGACTCTGAAGGCAGCTAATAACTGTCATATGGCTCTGGCCCCCTCTCTGCCTCTGACACAGAGCCCCCATCAGAGCCTTCCCAGACTCCAGGACTGGCACATGTTCTTCCCCAACCTCCTTACTGTCTGTTGGCTGCTCCGATGGCGGGCCACAACAAGGTCTCCTGAGTTTGAAGTCTTTACTATCTCCTACAACGTTTCAAATCTTACTTAACCGTTCTTCACTATCATGCATTGAAAATAGTCTACCTCTCCTTTTTTCCCCTGTACACTGGATCTAGCTTGCTGCTACTTAATGCTAATTTTCTTTTTTTTAAACTGCTTTATTGTAGTTGCTTAGCTATGTTTGGTTATTCTTGTTTTACTATTTACAAACTGAATATTTCCACATACCCAGTTTACACTTATCTTAACCCAAAATGGGAATGGAATTTTCCATTTTATTATTTGCACCTGAAAATAAGGGTGGTGCTTTTTTCCACCAGTAATTTGATGGCTCTTGAGATAGACCGGTAAATGTCAATGAACAGAATCACAAACATGGACATCCCTGACTGTAAAACCTCCAATATTTTTTATTTACAGGTAAAAAGCAGAAATTAGGGCAAATGTGGCTAATAATTTATCTTTGACACATAATGATAAATGTTACCATTTTCTGAGATATCAGATAGCCATCTAAAATGTAATCCTTTCACAAGAGCCTAAAGATCTTGGCCCAAGGACTTATTTTACGACCTTTCTTGCCACATTTGTTAAGTGAATCACTACAGTTGTTAAATTACTAACACGGTTGTTAAGTGAATTTGGCTTTCCCGTTGACTTTGCTTGTTAGAATGTCACTTATATAAGGTGATCACATGACCCCAGGACACTTCAACCATCATAAATATGAATCCATTGCTAAGCATTCGAATTTTAACCGAGTGACCTTGGGGAATGCTGCAAGGGTTGTATGTGTGAAAAATGGTCATAAGCCACTTTTTCAGTGCTGTTGTAACTTTGAACTATCACTAAATGAACTGTTGTAAATCGAGGATTAGCTGTAATGGCATTAGGAAAACGCATGTATCTTTCTCTTAGATGCTACCAAGGCAGCCTCCCTCAGTAACCAAGAAAGAAACCGCTCAACTCTATTTTGCAGAATTAAGAGTACTTTTACTGGNCGTGTTTTAGTTGGTGCCTCGGCTGCCAGCGAGAGCCTCCCAAGGGGGCCAGTCCAACCCGAGCCTGGATACATGAGGCAGAGATGTGAGAGAACTAGGAGAACCAGCCTTCCATTAAATATTTGCTCTTAATATTCCGGCTTCTTCCCGCCCGCCGTCGTCCTTCTTTTGGGGGGGGGGGGTTGTCTAGCAGCCGCCAAACAGCAGCACCAGGAGCAGCAGCAATGAATTAGCCGGCAAGGAGAGCCCGGCAGCATCCTTGACTGCATTGTAAAGCATAACAAATTACATGCGGAGGAAGGAAAGGACTAAAACTCAGTGAGTAACGCTTCCACCCCCACCCCACCCCCCTTCTCCCTCGATTTCCTGTGTTTTTTTTTACTGCAATTGTTAGGGCGATGCAGTCGGTCTGGGCGCGGAGGGCGAGGGATTGTAACGGCAGCAGCACCAGCATTGGACATGCACTGGGGTGGACCAGTCCACCTTGCCCGTCGCCGCGGTTGCAACCCACACAGATCTCGCCGCTTATTGGGATGTAGCTGAGACAGCGCTGAGAAAGGCAGGGAGGGGGGGCCGGGGAGGGTTTGCCCTGAAAAGACGTTCCCCCGCCAGGTGACAGGCTTTAGGGAGGGGGGAGAGAGAGAGAGAGGGAGAGAGAGACCAGACAGAGGCGTCTGCGGAGGGATGCTGCTCGTCAGGGCCGATGAAGGAGATGTACCCCAAAAAACCTGACGGTACGTCTGCGGCCTGTTTTGTGGCGAGGAGGTGGTGGTGGGGGAGATGGTCGCCTTCTGGTTTGGATTTCTGACATCTTTCCGAAGCAGCAGCCTGGGAAAAGAGCGGGCGCCAGCATCCAGGAGAATAGAGATGGTACTGCATTGCTACATTAGGCGACATCGATCCGTTGAATGGGCAAATTGGATTTTGTGCGGGAGATCAGCCGGGGGACTCACCCCAAATCACTTTTCAATCCGGCTTTTTATTCCTTTCGTTTGTTTTTTTAAAATTTCCAGCCGAGAAAATGAAGAAAAGATGCTTTCGGTGGTTGTTGTTGTCGTGGTGGTGTAGCTGGGCTTTTCTTACTCATGCCCTTTTTATAGACACGGGTTCCTTGGATGTGATGGTGGGAGTGGGCATGTAATTGGATTTGTTGTCAGGAGTCTTGGGCCTGTTTTATTTATTTTATTTTCGCCTCCGACTTGCTTCGTCCGATACAGGTTGAATGTTTGATATTTGTCTGACAATGTCAGTGATCGGTGTGTCCCTTTGGCTGTGAGTGCCAAGGAAATCCGTAACTCCTTGCATGCTTTTCTGGTGCTTAGACAATATTTTCCCTATGGACCCTCGGTTGTATTGTACAGAGGATGCTACGCATTGTTATCTAAAGGAAGAAAGTCATAGTGTACGGTCCAATATGTGAATTGTCTCTCCGTTCCTGGCCCTGTAAACACACTGTGTGACTCACAGCTTTTCCCTTCAATTGTTGCCGTATTAGCAGCCATGCTTAGGTTATTCAGAGCACGTGAACGAGAACCCTTCCTCCCGCGAAGAAAGGAAGGAGCGTGAGAGATGATGAGGCAACTCTGGCGATAGCAGCTTTGCTTGCAGAGAGAGTAAACCTTTTGTGCTACGGCTAGCAAGGCAAAGTGTGGGGATTGGTTTTGTGTGGGTGTGTAAGGGAAATTGAAACCGGCGCCTTTGTGAAAATATAAATAAATTTGCCGGCGTGCATTTGCAGCAATTCAGGACTTCCAAGTCTGCTCCCCTCATTGAAACAGACTCTTTATTTTGGAAGAGAAACACAGACCTTTAATAGGATAATTCCCATCTGATGTTTGTGGTTACCTAGTTGGAAGCGTTTATGTTTGGGGCAATAGCAAAAAAAGCTGTCGTTTGTTCTTTCTTTCTTTCCTTCTTCCCTCCCTCTTTCTTTCTTTCTTTCTTTCTTTCTTTCTTTCTTTCTTTCTTTCTTTCTTTCTTTCTTTCTTTCTTCTTTCTTTCTCCCCCCCCTCCCCAAACAACCGGAATTTCTTCCCTAAGGAAATATGCTTTTGAAACCCCAAGGGGCTTTTAAGAAGTGATCTTTATTTATTTATTTATTACATTTATATGATCTTCTCATGAGTTTGCTGTTTATAAAGAAGGGGGAGAAATAGCACCGTTCAGGCCCAACCTTTTTGGACACTGGAATGTGTGCGGTTGGTTCTTGAAAGAACCTTTGTTGGTTTTGAATTCTCGGAGTGCACATTTATCCCCCCCCCCTTTTTTTAACACTTCGAACTTAGAGCAATGAGATGGAGGCCGTAGGGTTATTTCTAGCATTGGGGTGTGGTTTGTATAATCGTCACCACCACATACAATTAAGTATTGAAGCTATGTCATTGTTTTCTTTCTTCTTTTAATTCCAAGTATGTTAGTTCTATCTCTCAAGGCCTAGGACATAAATAACTTTATATATAAATTTATATTTGTAAATATTCAATCAGCAGGGGATGGATTTCCAAGCCTGGCTAGAGTGAAATTTTACTTATGCTATCTATGGTCAACTTTGAGGGGTCTTTGGTGCTCTCTGAGCTTGCTTGTTTTCTTGCAGACGTTAAGGAATGGGATTTGTTCTCAGTTTATATTCTGATAGCTTGTCTATCTGGGTGGGTGGGGGCAGTTGAGATTCTTTGGTTGGGCTGGGGTAGTGCTTGCTTGATGGTTGGTCTGAAGTTAACCTTGGAGCTAATCTATGCTGATCTGCGTTCCGATTACTGGTGGAGAGGTGCTGGTGTCTTTTTATCTTTTGGGCTGGGTGATTGTCTCTTTTGCATAGTCTATACCCTGTTTCCCTGAAAATAGGACCTCCCCGGATAATAAGCCCAATCGGGCCTTTGAGCACATGCGCTAAAATAAGCCCTCCTCCCAAAAAATAAGCCCTCCCCAAAAATAAAATAAGACCTTGTCTTACTTGTGGGGGGGGAACACGGTAGATGTTGTTGATGTCTATGTGTCTGTTGATGGCTGATTTATCAGAGTGCCAGGCTTGTAGGATCAACTTCGCAGAATTGGAGGAAATGGTTTTTTTTAGGATATTTCACTTCCACTTTTCATTGATGAATAGGTACCGTATTTCTGGAGTATAAGATGCACCTTTCCCCCCCCCTCAAAAAAGGATGAAAATCTGGGTGCATCTTATACACTGAATACAGCATTTTTTTGCCTCCCAAAACCCTGCCTCCTTCACGAAAATAGACGCGCAGAGCGTTTGGGAGGCCTGCAAAGTGCTCCTGGGGGCTGGGGAGGGCAAAAATGAGTGAAAATGGGCCGTTTTTTGCTCGTTTTTGCCTCCCCCAGCCCCCAGTAGCACTCTACAAGTCTCCCAAAGTCTATGCATNAGCGAAGCAGAGGCTGACATCTGCAGTGCATTCCAGGTGTGAAATGCTACCAGCGAACCGGTAGTAAAAATACTACCAGTTCATGCGAACCGGTAGTAAAAAAATGCTATTGGTTCAGGCAAACCAGTATTTCCGCCGATCAGCTGTGACGCACGAGTTATATTAGCTAGAATCGTCGGATTTCCTGCTTTCTATATCTAATCTAAATTGCGTGTCACAGCTGATGGTTGGAAATTGAAGGTCTTGCGCATGTGCGGAGGTGGCGCGCGGGCTCACATTTGCGAACTGGTAGTGAAGGTAAGTTGATTTCACCCCTGGTGCATTCTTTCAGTCTAGCTGCTCAATTCTGCAGGATCATTCCTTTTTGTAACCACATATTTATTTACTTATATTTGTTTGCCTGCACACAGATGTTACATATTTCTTGAAGGAGGGAGTTGCCAAGGATCTTGACTGAGCTAATCTGCCTTTTTACAAACACCAGGCATTTTAAAGCATGTATTTACTTAATTTGTGAATTCATCTCTTTTCAAGGGACATCCTCATCACCAACTTGGGTGCCTCAATGAACTATGATGAACTTTGCGATGAAGTGAGAGAAATGTGCAGTTTGTCACAGGAACAGCCAATTACCCTGAAGTGGATTGATAATGAAGGTATTTCAGGCTTTTCGTAGCTGTGGTTTTGGAAAACATTTTTCCCTAAAGCACTTTATGGCGCAGTTAATTATCTGGGCTGAAAAGGGAGATATTAAATGGATAACTTTTTATTTCGAAAGCCTTTTCAAACTGTCACTCGATGGCAGCTTCCGATTAGAGAAATAAAACTGAAGTCACCAGGGACATACGATATCTCACTTTATTTTGAATTAATAGCCTCAGATGTTTGGACTAGGCAGAATTTCCCTTTAAACCTTTGCCTCACGAGTCGACTGAATTTTAGGATGGTTTTGCTGAAAATAGAAAGTTAGCTTTGGTTTTCAGTTAAACGGCAGTATAACAAACAACGGGCTTGCTTAATCTTTGCAGCGTTTGCTTAATTATTGCCACCAAAAAAACACCAGTTGGTCCTGTGACTGACCAGATTTACAACTGTCGTGATATAAATGACCATAATAGTCAGACTCCATTTATGATGGGTTGTATTTTGAGGACAACTTGTATAGATCTCCCTTCCTTTGTATCACCTAGAGAGGGGGGGGGGAGAATTTTGTGTCTTCTGTTAATTTGTAGAGAAGGATTAGAGTTTTAGGAGCTTAGCCTGTGTCAGGACTGTCAAACTTGCGTCCAGATGCGTCACGGGCTGGCCACGCCCACGCTTAGCCAAGGGGGGGGAATCATGTGACGCCGCCGTGACAACATGCGTTTGACACCTCTGGCCTATGTTAAGCCAATGTGACTGATTAACTATGGTTTTTAACTTACTACATTGTGTAAACCTAGCCAGCTGTGGTTCCTTAGTAAACCATGATTAAACCTTGGTTAATAAACCATGATCAGCATGTAACCTAGAGCTATATTGGTATATTGTTTTGTTCAGAGGGCAGTTCAGCTGATCGACATGAAAAGTACTGCCGAGATTTGGGTAAAATTCGTAATTGTATTGTTTCCTTAAAGCATAGTTAATTTGTTCTTCAGTCAGCATAGGCAATAATATAGAGGGACTGATGTATTCCAATTCTGGTGCTTTCTAACTTCACTATTCTTTGGGGGCCTCCCTTCGTGCTTCATTCCAAATAAGCAACATTAAATTCCATCAATTACCTGTTGAGAATTTGCTTTAGGAAAAGGGTGTTTTCCAACTAAGGAAGACATAATAACACACTAAACAGTCCTGCAGAATGATTGCCATCCTTTAAAATGTTTGCTCTGTTAATTAGAGGGGAAAATTGGGACTTAGGGAATGAATAGCCAGCCCTATTCTATGCTATCCTGATTTTCAGTGTTTTATTTTTATGCCAGGATACCATTTCCCCACAGCCCTTCCCAACGAGTAACAACTATGAGACGGAGTTACACTCAATGTTGATGAAGGGAAGGGTCTCTGGGTCCCAGAACAATTCTTTTTCAACCGCTAAGTGTCCCTTCTCCGCTGTTCTGAAATATATAAATGAATTCCCACCATCACCAAATCGCGCTGTTTTAAAATAAGAAAAACAATTTTAGATCAGAGAGTTGCACCCACGGATCGCTTCCATAAATGACATTCATTCTTTTCTTTTCTTTCTTTTTTTAAAAATAGGTGATCCTTGTACCATTTCGTCACAGATGGAACTGGAAGAAGCCTTCCGTTTGTACTGTCGGTACAGAGACGAAGGGCTTATTATTCATGGCAAGTTTTGAGACTTGTAGTTTAGCAAACCATTTTGTTGAACTGTATCTTTTCAGATCAGAAATCCTGCTTCGGTTCTTCCGTTCTGTCTTCTTTTTCAAGCAAGCGCAAAAGTGCAGGGTTTAGGCATCCACTGGCCTCTTCTTTGGATTGGTGCTGAACAACAAGATCTGACCTTTAGCCATTTTACGCTTATAACACAATCCTATCTACCTACCGCAACAAATAACCAGGAGGTGTGCTTTGTGGTCTTTGATACCAATGCCACTGGTGAAATTTCTTTTCTCTGTCTCGGCTCTGGAACATTTTCCTAAGAAGACCTACCTTGTATTAAAATCTCTTTGAGGACTTGGTGAAGATGCTCACTATTGGGGGAAGGGCCTTTACCATAGGAGTCTCTTGCCTATTTTAACCAAATCACTCTTTTACGGGCTTTAAAAACGCTTACTCACTGTCACTGGAGTGATTCGTTGCAATTTTCTTGTCTTACAAACTTTGTGTTTTGTGTGATCTTAGGAGCCATGTAACCTTTTGATCAAGCAGAACTGGTGTATCAATGTCTTGATAAAATAAATGACATGCAATTATAAATTACAAGCTGTTTGTTAAAAAAAACCCACAGAAAAATCATAGGAATTTTATCTTCTGCAGATTCTGATTGTTCTGATTTGAATAATTTTATGCTTCCTTGTGTGAGATTGCTGCCTGCTCATCCTTTCCTTTTCCGAGGATTATTTTCACTGCCAATAACTCCTTTCTCTGCATGTTGCTGAGCCTGACTTTCCTTTCAGTAATTGGTGTTTGCAAAGAATTCTCATGTTTATAAAATTCCCAGTTTTGTGATTAAGGAAGTAGTCTGTCACTGTCACATTTATTCAAAAGACTGAGTAGCTAGGAAAGACTCCTCTGTAGGAAATATATTTATATATTTATGATGCGTATTTTATGTTTTTGATGCAGTCTTCCCAAGCATTCCAGAACAACCCGGCATGCGGTGTCCTGGTGAAGATCGTAAGTATCGGGGCACAAAATTCTGTTTTTTTAAAGAAAGTTTTAGCACGTGCCTTCCTCTTTTGATTTTCCTTCAAAATATTTCTGGCCCGCAAAGGCAAAATGACAATGTAGTTTTGATGCATTGCTAGGCAGACATTTTCTCACATGGTAAATAATATTTAAATAGTGTGTTGTTTTATTCAAATTACCCCAAGGCATTCATGTAGCAATTGTCTGCCTTTCTTTCAAGCAGCATTTTAAATTTCACCCTGGAGTTTATGGTTGCGTTAGCAAAATTCTAGGAAAAACTACAGAGAGGTGCATTATTGTGTCTGCATTCTCTGAAGTACCTTTTTTGCTCTAAAGAACTGCACATTCCTACTGTAAATCAGTATTAACTCCTTATTTGGAGGCCTTATTTTCCCAACTGGATTTATCTCAATGGAGAAGAATACTAACAGCCTCCGACGTGGAAAGACAAACAGGCAGTTACTCTTTTTAGAGTCTTTTGCTCCTGATGTAATTAGAAGCAAAAAAAATGAGTACATAGTGGCATCTCTGGGAAGGGCCAGGAAAATGAAGATGGTGGTTACAACTGTGTGATCAGCAAGCCATGTCCCTTTGTACATACCCTGTTTCCCCGAAAATAAGACTTCCCCGGATAGTAAGCACAATTGGGCTTTTGAGCGCATGCACTAAAATAAGCCCTCCCTGAAAATATTACAATGCAGCAGCCTTGAGATGACCACGCTCGCCGCCTCCTGCACCTCAAAAATAATAAGACGTCCCCAAAAATAGGGCCAAGCATGAGTAGTTAATGTAGGGATTCTGCTGAAGTTGCTCTAACCTATTTTGTAAACAGCCGCACCCACCTATATTAATAAATTATGGATTAAAAAGGGGAAAGAGAATCCAATTTATGTAAATCTGGAGGTAATTCCTGTGAGAGAGTACTTGACAAGATTTTGCTTGTAGCTCTGTTCTAATTTCCATTTGCTTTTCATTAGGGACAGCAGGCAAATAAATACATTTTAAATATATATCGATATAGATAGATATGTATAAAGAAAACCAAGCAATTTTTGGTGAAACGAAACAGTTCAAAGTTGCATCCGTTGATTTTATAGTGTTTGGGAATATTATTCACTTCAACTGTCAACACAACATTATTGTTCCACGCTAAAACTTAACAACAAAGAGGAAGGAAAGAGGATTCTCATACTTTACAAAAGGACTAAAGGATTATATGTGAAAATCATATCCACAATATTTTAATCCTATTTAATTTGTCAGTTGGGACTCTAATAATTTAGCCCAGACTAACAGGACAAAGTTCATCACTGTCAGTAAGATTACCTACTTCTGGCAATCAGACTAGTTAACTTTCCCTTTATTTAAATCTAAAACTTGGATCCTATGTCAGAAAAATAAGTCTTCATAAGTCAAATAAGGACTTCAATTCCCACAATTCCCCAGCCAGGGAATTGAAGCCCACCCATCTTAAAGTGGCCAAGATTGAGAAACACAATTTGAAGGATTTGTTTGGCTGGAGAAGAACCAAAGGGGAGAAAAATCTATAAGGAGAAGCTGTAAAGCTAGATGGGAAATACTTTTAAAACTGTCAAGTATTTTACTGATACAACTCTTACTTGCTTTAGGAAACAAGATTAACTAAACTAATGTTACCCTGCGGTAAGATGGGCAGCCAATAAATTTGATAAAGAAATGTTTGGGCGGAAAAACAGTTGCAACCAAAAACTGAGCGATCTAACAATCGTGTGAATGGAATTGGCATAAGGCTAGTTTCAGCACAGAGAAATGAATTGAATGAATAAGAGCCAAGGTGGCGCAGTGGTTAAATGCAGCACTGCAGGCTACTGCTAGATCAGCAGGTCAGCGGTTCAAATCTCACCGGCTCAGGGTTGACTCAGCCTTCCATCCTTCCGAGGTGGGTAAAATGAGGACCCAGATTGTTGGGGGCAATATGCTGACTCTCTGTAAACCGCTTAGAGAGGCCTGAAAGGCCTATGAAGCGGTATATAAGTCTACTGCTATTGCTATTGCTAATTGGATGTGGAGCTGGTTTCCCCCAGAATTATCCTCAGCGATTTGTTTTGCAAAAATTCAGTATTTGAGGAGATACTTCCATTCTTTTGCATGGAAGAAAAAACACGTAATGACTGTATTTCTATTTAGTATGTACCAAGAAACCCACATTAATTGTTGAGATTGATTATCAATCTGCCAGGTGCATTAATTAGCCTCTTCCAGGTGACATGAAACAAGAAATTGCTCTCTTGGATGCAGAACAGTTTTCTGTTTCTGTTTTGAAAGATTTTTGACTAGCAGCAATAATAATTTTAGCTTTACTGTGATAGCTAGTAAATTGGGGTGGGTGGGGAAACCTTTGTCTAAAAGGCTATTCAATCCAGCTGGGTATGAGAGATATCAGACATGTCATTGGCATCAAGAAGAAAGTACAGGTTTTTTTTTTCTCACAAAATTTGCTTGCAAAAAATTATTACCAACGCATAAATCCCTTTCTTTGCTAAATCGAATCAAGGTAAGTGGGACCAATACACAACTTGATTTGAATTACTGGGGTAGTCTCGGATAATGATCGGCAGAGAAAAAACCCCTTACTTGACAAGTTAATCTTTCATTTAGCTCTGATGCTGCTCCGTGGCATTTAGCACTTTGAAAGACACATGATGGAGTTGTCCCCCTATCTGACCGTGGTGTCATATAGATGCTTTTCACAAAAAACATTTAGAGACCCTTGAAAGGTTATGCTTTGTATGATTAAAGATGGTTTTCCTCCTCTTCTGATTGGGTCGACATACAAGCAATATATACCTCTAGTTCTGTAAGCAATTTTGCCGTTCCTAAGCTATAGTGCAACCGAGAGTCAGTTGAAATGCTGGCTTGACTCAGAGTTCGCTTAAATAAGTAGTAATTCAGCGGCAAACTGATAACAAGGCAGCGTATTACTTGAAAAAGAAGTGAATTATTATGGGTGAAAGTTATCAATATCTTGAATACTTCATCATCATCATTTTAGCCATTATCTATCCACTGCAGATAGATAATGAACAGAATGAAGGCCCCTTCCACATGTTTCCAACTCATACGATCCTGAGCTTTATTTTGCCAATTGGGCCCATAATATTTGCAGATGTCGTAGATCCATCTTGTTTTGGGTCTCTTGTGGATGCTTTTGATCAAGTGGGATCCATTTCTGTGACCCCCCCTCAGTCCACCTGACCTCAGTTCTTCTTGCGATGCGACCGGATCATTTCCACTTCGATCTTTTTACTCTTTGGGTGGCATCACCAGTGTTCGTTTCCTCTGTAATCCACATCTTGTCTTGTGATGCTGAGCATGCGTATTTGTCCATGGCTCTGTCACTTTTTAAATACTTGAATATGCCTAAATCATTATTGCTTGTGTAGGGTCTCTAACGGCAGTTGCCCTGTGGCGGATGCTTTGGGAGATGCAATACTAAACTCAACCCTCTTCACACGGACCATTGCTAATACTTGGAGCCAGATCGGCTGTCTCCAACCTTGTGGACTTCAACTCCCAGAACTCCCATGGCTGCCTGAGGAATTCTGGGAGTTGAAGTCCACAAATTTTACCAGTTGCTAAGTCTGGAGACCTCTGAAATAGGGGGCAAATTTGGGTTGAAACAGAGACCCACATCTGCATGAACCTTGGTTGGGTTGAGGTTTGATTGCTTTGATCATCTTCTTTTAATGACCCCCATAATCCTTTGCAGAGTGTGGGCAACTGAATGGATCTGTGTGTTTACTGGCCAGATGCCCTTCCTGTCGCCAGTGCAGAGCAGATATATATATTCTCATTGTGCCCAGAGATAGAAACATCTTACCTAGGATTGAATTCACAGACTTCTGGTTGTGAGGCGAGATTGCTTTGATGCTATATTCAAATTATCTTGTCTTAGTTCTCTGGAATGAGAAATTTGCAAGTTTATATGGCAAAACAATTATGCCCTAAAAGTGTGTGCCATCTGCCCCCCCCCCAAAAAAAAAACTGGAGGTGCACTCCTACAGAGCCAGGCTATCTTAGGCCATCTTGGTATGATTTCATCTTAACAGGTACCCATCTTATGACTGTAAGAGGAAACCCCTAAGGTTCATATTTTGCAAGAAATGCATAGCAGAGGGTTTCTTGTCTCATTGAAAGGGTTATATAATAATAAATGGCTTTTACAATTTTGTCCTTGTAGAACATAATTTGAATCTTTACAGTATGGTTGATAGTCGCTGGAGAAATGTTTTTGTGCTCAGCTCAGAAATAAATGGAAGGAAACACCCCCAACAGCTAAATGTAAAATATACGCTTCTATAAATCCACAGCTACATTGATTTAAAACACTGGCAGCTACCGCTTTGTGGTTTGTTACAAGCCATTGTTTCCACTGCGGGGTCAAAGCCCAACAAAATTCGCCTTCTTCACACAGATACAGCTAGTCCTCGACTTAACGACCAGAACTGAACATGCCTGTTACTAAGCGAGACCAGTTTGTGCACCATTTTACGACCTTTCTTGCCACAGTTGCTAAGGGAATCACTGCTGTTGTTAAGTTAAAAAAAAATTATTTTTTTATTTTTTATAATTTACTTCTTTTCTGTCCTCCGGGATTGGGCGGCCTATAAATTCATTAAATACAAATACAAGTAACGCGATTAAGCGAATCTGGCTCCCCCCATTGACTTGACTTGTAAGAACGTGGTTAAAAAGTTGATCTCATGACCCCCAGGCGTGACGCTGCAACCGTCATAAATACGATTAGATCACAGGACTGTCGGGATGCTGCAAAGTGTAACTGAAAAATGATCTTTCTGTGCCATTGTAAACGGTCCCTATTGTAAGACGAGGGCTAACTGTAGTCACACTAACCCAGGGGTCGTCAACCTTAAAGTGCCACAAAGGTCCTAACCGGAAGCCCCCCAATCAATTCTGGAGCCAACCAGTTCAGTTCCCCCACCATAGAG